AGGTCAAGGACTGTAGTCTTTAATATGGATTGAATTTTTTTTAATTTCAATATCAAGAAAACAGAGAGTCTCACCACTGGGCAAGCTGGCAGCTTCATGATAGAGAAGAGATTGAGATTGTTGATCTCTTCAGCTTGCTTGGTTCCACAATCAACACTCTTGGCACCACCAGTCAAGAAATCAAAATATTAATTACATTGGGAAAGTCTGCTGTCAGAGACTGCAGAAGAGTACTAAAGAGCAATAGTGTCAGTCTGGAGACTAAGGTGCATCTGATCCAGGCATGGTCTTTGCAATTACTTGCTATGTGTCCAAGAGATGGACAATAAGGAAGATAGAAGAAGGATCAATGCCTTTGAGTTGCAGTGCTGGAGAAGAGTGTTGGACATACCGTGAACTGCCAGGAGAACAAACAGCTCTGTCCTGGAGAGAGTGAAACCAGGCTGCTCCCTGGAGGCAAGGATTTTGAAGCTCTGTCTCACATACTTTGGACATGTGGCCAGGAGGGACCAGTCCTTGGAGAAGGACATCATGCTTGGAATGGGAGAAGGAGTGTGCAGGAAAGGAAAACCCAGGATGAGATGGATTAACTCAGTGACTGGGGAGATGGAATTAGGTGTGTCAGAGATGATGAGATTATCTCAGGATAGGGCAGGGTTTAGAGCTAATGTACATAGGGTTGCTATGACTTGCAGGCAACTTGATGGTACATAACAATAATAAAGGTAAAACTGCATAGCTGATTATTTTAACTGCTGCCAATAAATTAACATCTTCCAAAAGTTGTATTGGCAAAACTGTGTAGTAGATATAGTCACAACAATGTTTTGAGGAAGAAGAAACAAAAATAGTAGCTGATGAAGTAATTTCCAGTAAGCTTGAAGCCCCCATTACCACTTGCATGTCGGACCCTAGTTATATACCACTTTCTTCTCAAAAAAGAGCTAACAAGATATCATATTTTATCTTTTTAAATTTACTTCACTTTTTATTTCCCCCTTATTTTTAAATGAAAATGTTAAACAATAGCAAAGTTTAAATCAATTGCCTTCCAACAGGTGAATGGGTAAAGAAATGTGATATATATGTACAATGGAGTATTTTTAGGTGATAAAAAGAAACTGTTATTAAGCCATAAAAAGGCATGGAAAAAAAATCTTAAATGTGTATTGCGATGTTGAAAAGCCAGCCTGAAGAACTATATGAAATTCTGGAAAAGGCAAAAATATAGGACCACTCCAAAGACCAGTCATTGCCTGGAGCTCAGAGTAGGGTGGTGGAGAGGGAGAGAGGTAAATAGGTGGTGCACTGGGCACTACTCTCTATGATACTTTAATGGTGAGTGTGTTAAGCATCTATTAAAATCCATTATCATGATGTTGTTGTTGTTGATTGCTGTGGAGTCAAGCACAACTCATAGCATCCTATGAACAAAAGGCTAAAAAGCCTTTCTAGAACTATCGTATTTATCATAGTTAATAGAGTTTCCAAAGACATGTTTGTTTAGGAAGTGGATGCCACTCCTGCTTCCAAACCTGTCTTAAACTGGGAGTTCCACCTAACACTATCCACTATGGGTCACCGTTATGGCATTTGACACCCCAATGGCACAAGGTTCAGGATGACAGCTACCCCAGGTTACCTCAGTACAGCATATTGACAAAAGAGTGCTGGACCACTTAGAATAATGTTCCTCCAAAATATAACAACTGACTTTTAAATACAAAGGTCCTTCCTGAGGTCTTGTTGACTCTGAACTTAAAAATATGGAGTGTTTCATGAATTTGCATGTCGTGCTTATACAAGGGCCATCATAATCTTCTCTGTATCATTAGAATTTTAGTATTTTTTTTAAATTTAGGTTGTTTATTTTTCATTTCAATTAACATCTACAGAGATTTTGGGATTCCATTCATTCATTGTTGCACCCTTCTCCCCGCACAAACCCCTCCCCCCTCCATTTGCTCCTCTCCTTGAAAAGCAAAACTCCCTCATTGGTACACACACCCCCCCCCCGCACCTCCCCAAACCCCACCCCCTAGCCCCAAATATAATCCACTCTACAACCCTCATTGCATACTCCTACGATAAAAATAATGCCCTAAAATATAATACTTTTAGACTATTCTCTCCCCCAGAATTTTAGTATTATGTGCCGCCGAAGCGAGCACATTATCACGATAGGTGACGAAAAGATTGAAACTGTCAACTACTTCATTTTACTTGAATTCACAACCAATATACTGGATACTAGCAGTCAGAAGATCAGAAGACATATTGCACTGGGTAAGTCTGCCGTTAGGGACCTCTCCAAATTAGTGAGGAGCAATGAGGTTAGTTCGAGGACTCAAGTGTGTTTGATTTAGGCCATGATCTTTTCAATCACATGCCATGGTGCTGAGAGCTGGACTGAGAGTGGATAAGGATGACAGAGTAAAAACTGATACCTTTGAACTGTGATGTTGAAGGGAAGTACTGAATATGGTATGAACTGCCGAAAGAACAAATATATGTCTTGGAGAAAGTTCAGCCTGAGTGCTCCTTGTAGGCAAGGATGGCAAAGCTTTGTCTCGTATACTTTGGGCATATATCTAGGAGAGGCTGGTCTTTAGAGGAGGACATCATGCTAGGAAAGGTGGAAGGATGATGAAAGAGAGGAAGATTCTCGACCAGGTGGATTATCACAGGGATTGCAACAATGGGCTCCAGTGGGTCAGAGGTTGTGAGATTGGCACAACATAGGACAGAGTCCAGATGTGTTGTTTATAGGGTTCATAGGGTTCTATGAGTCATACAACAGCACCTAACAACAACAACAACAAAATCCATAGAATTGTTACCTCAGAATAAATCCTCATGTAAACTATGGAACTTTATTTAGTAAAAATGTAGAAATGTTGCCTTGTCACATATAACATGTACCACTCACTCATGTCTCAAGAACTGAAAACAGGACATAGGGTCACAAGGCCATGAGCATCTCACTGAAAGGGCCAGAGGGAGTGAGAATAGTATAGCCGTTCACCTCCCCTAAGGAGAAAGCAGATAAAGAGCCCCTAGCCCAGCCCCATGGTGTATCTAGAGCCACAGCAGCAGCAAGAGGTTCATTTATTTGTTACTGATACATAGACTCTCAGTTGTATACTGAGAATGGGGTATATTAGGGAAGGAAGTTGGAGAGTGGTAGAGGCAAAGAATTATCTCCCAATGCAAGAGATTAGACCAGAGGTCCAGTCCCAAGGTCTAATTCTTAATTTAGTCCAGGCTTCAGTTTCAGTTCCGCAACACAAACTCAAAAAGGGTCTGGTTTCCTCAGTCATCCAGCACGGTTTGCCTCAGAGCAGTTACAAGTCAGCTTCTTCTTTATTACCCAGCAAGTAAAGCAAAACCTTTAACTGTGGCCTTTTATTTCAAGGCTCCTCTGGTTATACCTTGCCACAGTTTCTCCACAGCAATGCCACAGTCTCTCCACCACCTTCACCAGGGACTTGCCATCATGATTTCTTTCTCACCTGGGCCTTGCTCCAGTCTCCCTCATATCTTGCCACAGCACTCTCTCTTATCTTAGTCCCATAGCTGTTGATGATTTGCAAGGCAATGTGTCTACAGTTAAGGGAGCTAAGGACCAGAGGGGACAATGGCAACAGCTAAAAATAAACCAACTGTAGAAGAGAGGATGAAAGACACCCAAGCGTTGAGGACTCTCCTTCATTGGGTTGCTATGAGTCACCTGTGACTCGATGGCACTTAACAACAATAACATCAACATAGAGAGATCAACTGGCCCAGTGGACAGAAAGCGATGCTACCAAGCCAAAGGTGGGTGAATTTTAATCCGTGGCCCTCGGGCCTGTCTTTCATTGTTTTGGGTCAGACATTCCTCTAGGTCATGTAGGCCTGGTGTACAAGTTTCCATACAGTGGTCACTTGTGGTTGCTATGAGGCTGAACACTGTCACACTGATGTGTCAAATGCGTTAATGGTTGGTCACCCAAAGTGGACAGAGAGTGGGGTGGAGTTCCCTGATTAAAACAAGCTTGGAAGGGGGAGTGGCATCCACTTCCATAATAGCTGGCCTCCAGAAACCCTATGAACCTGGAGAGAGGATGAAAGACACCCGAGCGTTGAGGACTCTCCTTCATAGGGCCACTATGAGTCACCTGCGACTCGATGGCACTTAACAACAACAACAACAGGCTAATACTGCTGCTTAACTCAACAACTTAACTCATTACTGTGGAGTCAGAACTAACTCATAGCTGACCCTGCAGCAGGTTTTCAGAGGCTGTAATACATAAAATAAGATTTCTCATCTTTCTCACCAAGAGCCACTGGTAGATTCAAACCACCAAGAGCCTCCTTTGGTTTAGCAGTGTAAGTTCCTACTGACTACGGCACTTGAACAACTTGGTGTCAAGAAAGGATGTTAATACTAGAGAGAGCTGTGGGTCTAGGAGAAAGAATAGTAGGGAACTCTTTCTATTTTCTGTTCAATTTCTCTATGAACTTAAAACTGGTATTAGAAATAGACAGTAAATAAAATAGGAGAAAGAGGGAGGGAGGGAAGAAGGACACAAGGAGGAGGAAAAGGAATGAAAATGCCCTTTTGCAGCTCACTTTGCTAAACTCTACATATGGGGCCTCTGGTTGCCAGCTTTCCCAATGTCAGGTGAGCCTAGCTTAACGTGATACCAATACATCTGGGAAAGGCAGAACTAAGTGATAGAGAAATAAATACTTTATGCTTTCATCTTGTATCCTGGATCAAGCCATTCCTGAGGTCCTAACAAGTTATGTGAGCCAATACATTCCTCTTTTGCTTAAACCAGGTGGTTCTTTTTTTTTTTTACTCTTATTTTTTAATATGCATTTATTGTTGCTCATTTCCCTCCCTTCTTTGAGTTAGTTCTTGCACTTGCATCAAAAACCTCTGATGCCAAAATGCCAAGTGGCACTTCTATGTCTGCCATCCTCCACCCTCAATAGCCAGCCCCACTCACTTGGTGATCTCCTCTAAGGCTGCTTCAGGTAAAGCCAGCATCTCCACCATCAGGGACAGGATCTCAAAGAGCAGAGTGTGGGGGTTTGGAGTAGCCGTACCTGTCAGGGCATTCTGATCTGAGGGCATGGATGGTAGCTACCATTACCATTTGTCAGCCCTGGATGCCCGTCTCCCACCAGCTGCCCAGCCCTTCTCCCAGTTCTGAGTGTCCTGGTCTGATCCCTGCTCACCCACAGAGCAGAAGAAGCGCTTGGTGTCTGTCATCACCGCCAAGAAGTCTTTGAAGTCTACATGACCATCTCCTATGGGGATCAGAGAATACAGGATGAACATGAGGCTTCTGGACCAAGTCCAGGTATTTGGACTCAAGTATGGTTACTAGCCTTTACCCATGGAGCCTAATTGGAGTTGTACAATTTGATGGGTAGGGGGTGAGGGAAATTGGAAGAATCTGTTCTGGGAAACAATGTATTTTTAAATAAACTAGTATAATAAAAAAAGAAAGAAAATATTGGCTATTCAATACAGAAAATGGTGCACACAGAGGAGTAGAAGGCAAAAATTATAATTTATTTTTTTGGTATCAACTTTATTTTTTTAAAATGTTTTAAATTTTTCTACTAGTTTATTTACAAAATTCAAATACAAATTTGAACAAATTCTTTCAATTTCCCTCACCCCCACCTATCAAATTGTATAGCCCAATGATTCATCCCATCTACCCCATAAAAAGGACCAGAATTTAAGTCCTAGAGGCAGCCAACTGTTGATACCCAGCTCTACCACTTATGAACTTGCAATGTGATCTTGGGGGAGTTTCTTTTTTTTTTAATTTAAATTTATTATTAATTTCAGTAAAAATTTACAGAGACTTTGGGTTTCCATGCATTCGTTGTTGAACTTTTCTCCCCTCCCAACCCTCCCCACTAGTACACTACCCTCTTGGAAAAGTATAAGAAAAATTCTTTCATTGTTTTACAAACCCTCCCCCAGGTCCACTCCACCATGTAGCCTTTGCTCTAGACTCCTGTCATGACAAAAATGCCTAATCACATATCCCTTTTAAACAATTTTCTCCTTCATCTGTTTCAATGAAGTATACATTATTGAACTCATCTTTCTCAGTCTCTCCCCAACCCCAAGGTCAGTCCTGTTTTACAACTGAGGCACCTTGCAGTATTTGACCTTTTGGGACTGAGGTGCTTCACTCAGCATAATGTCCTTCAGAGTCACCTATTTTGAATAATATTGCATGAGTTCCTTGTTTTTCAATGCAGCATAGTATTCCATTGTGTGATTATACCACAACTTCTCTATCCATTCTTTTGTTGATGGGCACTTAGGTGGGAGAGTTTCTTAATCTTTCTAAACTTTGTTTTCTCATCTATGAGCTGAGAATAACAACGACAATAACAATATCCATGCCATAGGGGATCAAATGAATCAAAGTGCTGAGCATATAATATGTGCTCACTAACAATTATGACTGTTGGTGTCATGTGCTGTTGAGTCAACTATAACTTAAGGCGACCCTAGGAACAACAGATCTGAACTTTGCCCTATCCTGTGCCATCATCACAATGTCCACCCCAAGCCCACTGGTGCAGTCACTGTCAATCCATCCCATTGAGGGTCTTCCTCTTTTACCTTTCTCAGCATGGTGTCTTTTCCCAAGGACAGGCCCCTTCCGACAACATTCACAAGCTAGGTGAGGCAGAGTTTCACCATCCTTGCCTCTAAGGAATATGCTAGTTGCACTTCCTCCAAAACAGATTTGTTTGCCCTGTTGGCTCTTTTTTTTTTGTTTGCCCTTTTGGTTATTCAGCACTCTGCTGACACCACAATTCCAAGTCAGTGCTCCTTTATTTATTGTCCAACTTTCAGATAAACATAATAAACAATGTATAAGATCATGGCTTAGATCAGGCACACCTTAGTCTTTAAATTCATATCCTTACCCTTTAGCACTTGAAAGAGGTATTTGAGAGCAGATTTCTCAGTGTAATACATATTTTTAATTCCTTGGCGGCTGCTGCTGCAAAAAATGATCCCCACCCACTGTGGGAAGCCTAATTTCAAACTAAATATTAATGATAAAGCAAATACTGTATCAGGATATGAGGGAGGCACAGATCCAAGCTGGAATTCCCCCTAAGAAAGCACCAAGGCAAACCTTAGGCATTTTCACAGTTCTTGGATTATATTTGCTAACCCCTCCATCCTGAGTCAAGCATAAGGTTTTCAACAGAAAGTGCTTAGCTTCATTTGCATAGAATTCTCTTGGTGATTTGCTCCCTGCTTGATGCTCTCTGTTTCTCCTCCATTCTTGATGCCCCTTTCGTTCTTGATCCTTTACCCTCGGCCAACAACAACCCACGACCTTGAAGGCATAGTTCCTACATTTCCTGCTTCATTTTTCACTAAGTTTCCCTGACACTAACCCACTATCCCATCAGCACAAAATTCTTTCCTGGAGCTCATTCTACTTCCTTCTTTATAGAATTCTCTCATCCACCTTCCAGTTTCTTAACCTAATAAACAGCCTACTCATGCTTCCCAATCAGTCAGATGCAACACTTCTTCAGAAGAGTAGATGAGCTCAGGCTAGGTCCCCTCCCCCTTTTTTATGAAAGAAAGAAACCTCCACTTCCACCACCTATGTGCACAAAAGACATTGGATAACTAATATGCAAATAAATAACAGCACCAGTGAAAACCAGTTCTCAACTTATGATAACCCATTCAGAGTGGAACTGTGTCCCAAAGGGTTCTCAGTGGCTGAGTTTTCTGAAGTAGATCACCTGGCCTTTCTTCCCAGGTACATCTGGGTGGACACTCAAACCACCTTTCAGCTGGCAGCTGAGCAGATTAGCCGATTGCACCACCCTTGAGGCTCCATGAATTGTATTAGTAGCTTGCATTCCTGATTGCATTTTGTGTACTCCGTGATTTGACAGCAGCCCTGTGAGATGGGCACAATATTATCCTCATTCTATAGATGAGGAAACTAAAGGTAACTGACAGAGTCACTCCACTGGTAAAACGAATGGTCAAGACATGCAAGAAGGCCCAGCGAGCACACACGAGGGTCTGAAAAGAAGAGTTCACTGGGATGACCACAGTTGGGGGGCAGGAGCCAAGTCTTGTTCAGCTCTGAGTCCCTGGAACCCAGCACTGAGTAGGTGCTTAGAGAGCATTAACACCAGGACCAGGACCAACGTTAACATTTTCAGGACTCAGTGCAATGCAGGTCAAGGCCTTTTGTTCAAAGACTAAGCATTTTAAGATGCACAACAGCAGATAATTAAACCAAGCACCTTAACGTTCACCAGTTGCCCTTGTATCAATTCTGACCGATGATAAACCCGTTTCAGAGTAGAACCTTGCCCCATAGTTTTCATGGCTATGACCTTTCAGAAGCAGGTCACCAGATCTTTCTTTAGAGGTTCTTCTGGTGGGTTCAAATCACCACCTTTCAGTTAACAGCCAAGTGCCACTCAGTGAGGTCAAACCAACTTCAAGGCCCTGCTAAGCATGAGGTGTCTGGTGATTCCCCGGATCTCACATCAGTGATGGTGGCCTTTTTAAGGGCTCAGAGTAAAGCCCCTTACCCCCAAAACTCACCGTCAATATCAGCACTGGTCAGGGCGTCATTCACCTGGGCTGGGGTCAGCGAGATGCCCACTAGGAGCAGAATGCTTTCCAAGCTTTGTGCATCCACCTCTCCAGGCCCGTTGAAGAATTCAAAGTAGCTGCGGAAGGCTGTGGAGAAGGTGGGTCATGTAGGGGTGGGATGTGTCCTGTTTCTCCCACTTACCACACCCCCTCCAGCCACCTTCCAAATGTCCAACATCCTCTGCCACTGTGGCCAGGTGGACAGACTGTTGCTGTTGTTGTTGCTAGATGCCGTTGAGTCAAGTACAATTCATAGTGACCCTGTGAACAACAACACTGAACCCTGTCCTATCCTGTACCATCCTCATCATCTCTAACATACTTGAATGCATTGCTGCAGTCACTGTGTTAATCTGTCTTGTTGAGAGTCTTCCCCTTTTTCACTGACCGTCAATATTACAAACATGATATCCCTTTCTAACGAACAGCCTTTCCTAGCATCATGCCCAGATGATGCCCAGCCTTGCTTCCAAGGAGCATTCTGGCTGCACTTTTCCCTAGATATATCTGTTTATTGTTTTGGCTATCAGTTGATCAGTGCTCTTCTTCAATATCACAACTCAAAGGCATCAGTTTGTCTTCTGTCATCCTTAGTCATTATCCACCTCTCAGAGACATAGCAAGTGATTGAAAAGACCATGGCCTAAAAAAAAGAAAGAATCAGGCACACCTTACTCTTCAAACTAACATCATTGCTCTTTCAGAGAGATCCCTGACTGCAGATTTCCCTGTATAGCTCCTGATCTCCTGACTGTTGGTACCAAATGTGTTGATTGTGGATTCAAGTAAGACGAATTCATTAACAGTTTTAATCTTTTTTCTGTCTATCGTGATGTTGCCTATAAGCAAAATGTCTATTTTCTTGATATTGAGAATTAATCCACATTGAAGGCTGTAGACTTTGATCTTCTGCAATATGTGCTTCAAGTCCTCCTCATTTTCAGCTGAGGCTCCGTCTAACATACTTTGGACATGTTGTGAGGAGAGACCGGTCCTTGGAGAGGGACATCATGCTTGGGAGGGTGGAGGGACAGTGCAGGAGGGGAAGACCTCTATGAGATGGATTGATTCAGTGACTGGGGTAATCGGGGTGGGTGTGTCAGAGGCAGTGCGGTTGGTGCAGGATAGAGCAGGGTTTAGGGCTGTTGTGCATAGGTTTGCTATGAGTCGAAAACGACTCGATGGCACATAACAACAACAACATGGTTGTATCATCTGTATAACACAAGTTGTTGATGAATCTTCTTCTGATCCTGATGCCATATTCTTCTTCATAAAATTCAGCTTTTCAAATAATTTCCTCAGTGTACAGACTGAATAAGAATGGAGAAAAAATACAAATCTGACGTATGCCTTTCCTGATTTTAAAGGTGGTGTTTTTAGGAGCTATCAAGTCTATTCTAACTCTTAGCTATCTCACGTGACAAAGCAGAATTTCCTCAAGCTATTTTCTTGACTTGTCTTTACAGCAAAGAAAGAAAAGACAAAAATGGATTTCAGAAGAAACTCTGAAACTTGGTCTCAACAATAGCTATCAAAAGGAATGATAAGGTAAAGGAATTGAACAGAAGACTTCAAAGGGCAGTTAAAGAAGAGAAAATATTTTAATAAAATATATAAAGACCTAAAATTAGAAAATCAAAAAGGAAGAACAGAGTTTACAGTCCCCAAGGAGAAAGAACTGAAGGAAAAAGTCAAGCCTTGAGTTGCAATAGTGAAGGATTCTAGAGGCAAAATATTTTATGGTATGTTGTTATTATGTGCTGTTGAGTTGCCTGCAACTCATAGTGACCCTATGTACATTAGTTCTGAACCTTGCCCTATCCTGAGCCAATCTTACTGTGTTTCTGAAATGCCTACCTCCATTATCCCAGTCACTGAGCCAATCCATCTCATCCTGGGTCTTCCTCTCTCCTGCGCTGTCCCTCCACCCTTCCAAGCATGATGTCCCTCTCCAAGGACTGGTCCCTCCTGGCTGTGTGCCCAAAGTATGTGAGATGGAGCTTCAAAATCCTTGCCTCCAGGGAGCAGCTTGTATCCACCCTCTCCAGGACAGACCAGTTTGTTCTCCTGGCAGTCCACAGTATGTTTAACACGTTTCTCCTGCACCACAACTCACAGGCATCAATTTTCCTTTTATCATTTTTAGTCATTTTCCAGCTCTCTGATGCATACCAAGTAATTGAGAAGACTATTGCCTGGATCAAGTACATCTTAGTGTCCATACTGACTGCTCTTCAGTACTCTAGAGAGGTCCCTGACAGAAGATTTTTTTCCCAATGCAATTTGTCTTTTTATTTCCTGGCTGTTTGTGCCAAGAGTCTTCCTCCAGTCCTTATACCACATTCTTCCTCATAAAGCCCAGCCTCCCAAATGACCTGTTATGCATGTAGATTGAAAAAGTATGAAGATAGGATGCATTCCTGATGCACACCTTTCCTGACCCTGAACCATGGAGTGTTTCCCTGCTCTGTTCTGACTACTGCCTCTTGGTCCAAATGAAGCACCAAAAAATTATAGAAGGAAAACAAATTTCTAGTTTAAAAAAATGGTCGCTGCTAAGTCATTCCAGGAAGCAACATAAGATCAAGAACTGGTGGTACTGATGGGAGAAGTCAAAGTTACACTGAGGGCACTGGAGAAAAAAATAGGTAGGCTTCAGGAATTTATGTAATACCAAATGAGATGTATTAATCGATGCAATGCTAGAAGTGTTCACTGGTTTATGCCAAGAAATGGACAACCTGGCCAACTAACTGGAAGAGATTCATATTTGCACCCACTGTAAAGGTCACCCATCAGAATGAGAAAAATACTTACAAATACAATTAATATCATATGAAGTCAATTTTTGCTAAAGATAATTTTAAAAGGACTGGTGTAGTCTATCAACAGGGAACTGACAGAAATTTAAGTTAGATTCAGAAGTGGCTGTACAATGGAGATATAACCTCAGATAGAGCTCAGCCAAAAGCAGAGAATATTAGAAGCAGGTATACTGATGTTTTACTGACTAGTGACAGACATTCAACTATGTGGATCATAACAAATTATGGATAACATTGCAGAGAATGGCAAGTCCAGAACATTTAATTGGGCTCCTGCAGAACATGTGGCCCAAAAGGCAGTCAGTCATTCAAACAGAAGAAGGGAATGTTGTGTGGCTTAAAATTAGGAAAGGTATCTGTCAGGGTTCTATCTTTTCACCATACGTGTTGTTTGTTGTTATGCCATCGAGTCGCTTGCAACTCATAGCGAACCTGTGTATAAGAGCCCTAAATGCCGTTCTATCCTGTGCCAACCTCGCTGTCTCCCACACACTTATTCCCACCACCCCAATCACAGAATCGATGCATCTCATCGAGGGTCTTCCTCTCCTTCACCCTCCCTCCACTCTGCCAAACATGATTTCTCTCTCCAAGGACCAGTCCCTCCTTGCAACATGTCCAAAGTATGTCAGACGAAGCTTCAGAATCCTTGACTCCAAGGTTCATTCTGGCTTCACCCTCTCGAGGACAAACCTGTTCTCCTAGAAGTCCATTGTATATTCAACACTCTTCTCCAGCACCACAGCTCAAAGGCGCCAATTCTCCTTCTGTCATCCCTAATAACTGTCCAACTCTCTGATGCATAGCAAGTAATTGCAAAGACTATAGCCTGGATCAAGCACACCTTAGTCTCCAGCCTGACATCGTTGCTCTTCAGTACTCTTGAGAGATCCCTCATAGCTGACTTTCCCAGTGCAATTCGTCTCTTAATTTCCTGGTTGCTGTTACAAAGAGAGTTGACTGTGGAACCAAGTAAACTAAAACTGTTAACTATCTCAATCTCTTCATTATCCATACTGATACTGCCAATTGGCCCAGTGGTGAGAATCTTTCTTTTCTTGATGTTGAGCTTCAAACCATATTGAAGACTGCAGTCCTTGACCTTCTGCAGCAAGTGCTTCAGGTCCTCTTCAGTTTCAGCAAGCAGGGTTTTGTCACCTACATAATACAAGTTGTTGATGACTCTTCCACCAGTCCTGATGCCACATTCCTCCTCGTACAGCCCAGCGTCTTGGATGTTCTGTTCTGCATACAGATTGAAAAGGTATGGAGACAAAATACATCCCTGGCAGATTCAGTTCCCGATTTTGAACCATGTAGTATCTCCTTGCTCTGTTCTGACAACTGCCTCTTGGTCCAAGTA